GCTTGAAGTTGATGATTTAATGGGCTAAGAGAAAACTCGCACTTCATATCAGAGCATTATAAATGCCAGTGATAATAAATGATGGCATACGTTCAAATTTGGCCGACTAAGGAACGAACGGAAAGAGTTTACTTGCCTTGAGCTACGATTTATACCTTTATCAAAATAACGAATTAAGTGACAAAAGTCATCGTTCCCAGTAGGAATATGCATGGACTGAGTCAAATCGGAGTTAGAATATGGATTTACTGGTAGTCTCGAAACTCTACTTACATACGAAAAATAAAATAGATTACGCGGCAATAATTTTCAATGATGCAAGCAGGCCTCAAATAAGCTAGGGATCTCGGTCCCGAACAAAGACCGTTGAACCAGTCCAATATTGAAAAACAATCAAAATGTGCTAGAAACAGAATAAATAAGGAAACTAAATAAAGACTGGAATGGCGACGAAGCGAGGCAATAAAGAAGCATAAATATGATTTCATTTAGTTACATATGCAATGAGTGAAAGGCAAATGCGAATATGATAGGTCAAACGGAATTGCGTGCGAATGAAAGTATGGATCACGTAATAGGGAAAAATAGATATGGAATATGAAGAAACAGACTTAACGACCCGTTTACTCAGGGAAGCATCCACAAACTTAGCAAAGTCGAATCCATTTGTATAATAATAAGCGTTGTCTTAATAATTAAGTCCAGTATGCTAATTCACAAACTTTAGCAACCCGTGCTTAGAAAAGACATATTTGAAAAAGGAGCTGCACCTATTAAATATTAAACTATATGAAGGAACTTAAAGTGCCCTGAGTTTGAATTTGGATCTATTAAAATTTGGGCCAAGTCTAAATAAAACTGTTGCTTACAAAAGAGCCCCTCTTGCCCATTTCAGTTGGGCCGTAATTGGGTAAGCAAACAGAGTGGTAGCCAGCTTGGCAGCGAACACATCGAAGTTCAGAACCGGCGGCTTGGCACACGCGGCATTGGGTGCAATTTCGGCAAATGAAATGGTCTTTGCGACGGGGGCGAAATTGTCGGTCGACACAGTAGAAATGAAAAGGCTCGGCACATGAAACGCAGAATAGGAGCTGGAAAAACGATTTGGCAATGAGAGGATGCAAAAGTAATAAGAGTATAAAATAAAAGGATGAATCTTGGTAAAGTATACGTTATAACTCATGAAAATGTACTTGTGACGATAGCAGTTGATGTAAAAATCCAAGTACTTAAGTTGGTCTACGATAAATTCGATTTGTGGCAGAAAGGATTTGATCAGGGGATGTTAAAGAAGAGGTCGAACTATAATGTAGATCGAGCTAAACTACATGAGAGACATAGGATGAATAGCATTAGTCTTTTAAGCGTTTAGCGTATTCAGAGATGAAATCTTGTTTGGTGATAGAAAAATAAATACTAGAGAACATCGTTTAAAAGTAAGTTACATTATCATTCATTTTGTAGCGAATGAGACTGAGTAGGCCAGGATACCTGGAAATAGCCTGATTGTAGCAGCAAATTTGATAATTACGCTTATCCCAAGAGTGTGTTTTCAATGTAGCGATCGTATGTGAGTGTGGCCTATGCTTTGCCTAGGATCAGTCCAGTTGAAGATACAAGTAATTGACGTGTAATATCATGGAAAGTAATCGAGATCGCAAC